TTCTCCCTTCCCTCCTCCTCCATGCACAGTTCCCTGCTGTCTGCCTTGCTGCTCCCGACCCAAGAGAACATTTCCTGAACACATCACTGAAAAGAACCAATTTTTTCAGTTTGGCTACTCTCTGAGTCACCAGGATAGTTTTTGTTGGTTGCTTGTTTTGCTTTTTTAATTAAACTCAAAATTAAAAAGAAAAAAAAATCCAAATTTTCATGAAGACATGCTAAGGGGAGAATAAAGCATCTGCTTCAAATAAAATCAAACTTTTCCTTTATATTAGCTTTTAAGTATATTCAAACCTAAGAACGCAATGATTTTCAAAGCAAAAAGCACATATTCTTTTCATTTTGAAAATATTTTTTCGCTAGTTGCTATTTTTCTCTGCTGCTATTCCCGAATGCATCTTTCAGGCAGCCCTTCTCTTTGCCTGCAAACCTGTCTCTTCAAACAATTTCTCCTTTCATCTTGTCAGCATCAGTAAAATTCCCAAATCCGTCCTGCCTTAAATTGCCACCCTGAGCCTTGTCGCCTTCGGATTGTTAGCTCCTGAAGCAGAAAATGTGCTCGTGCTATGAAAAAAGGGGGAAAAAGGAGTGTAAGCGTATGGTGCTCAAAAGAGACCTTATGTTCTTTTACGGGGCATGAGGCTGGTCCTGTCCCCTGTGCCACGAGGACGGATCCTGGTGAGCGTGAGCATCGTGACCCCGCAGGTTATCCTGTGGGTAGAGAGCACCAGAAAACCAACCTCTTCGAGGGAAAGGGAGACTGGTGGGGATTCCTGGAGAGCTGCCAGCACGATGGGTCTTTTTTTCTTCACGTGACAAAACCAGGGCGCGCTCTCCCTGTTTCCCAGCACAAGCTGGTTAATCATTTTCAGATCTCTAGGCAGTAGGGCTGTCCCTGGTAGTCTCAGAGCCAGTGGCATGAAAGCTCTTCGCTCTATTTGTTGTAAAGTCCTATCTCATGCACAAACAAAAAAATTTTGCACGTAAGAAACACTTCTTTTTCTTTTTCTTTTTTTTTTTTACAGGTCCTTTACAGAAGCAGGATGCACACGCTGATGCTCAAGACTTTAAAATCACGTTCCAGCGAGCACCTTGACACACACAGATTTTCCGAAGGGCTCTGCAGCCACGGGGCTGCCCAAATAAAGCCCAGCAAGGCCTGCCTGGCACTTCTCAAGACAGGGAAAAAGCAGGAACCCGCACCCCGCACGGCACTCAAATTAACGCCGAGCTGTCAGCCCGGCACCGACCAGCCCCCACAGAAAAGATTTTAACACCCATTTCTCCCTCCTGTGCAAAGCAGTCAGTCTCAGGAAAACCCTTTCCACTTAAAAATGCAAATTACAGGAATTCTTTCCTTATATCTAGGAATTCTTTGCTTATATCTAGGAGTGCGGCATAAAATATGATTATTTAACATAATAATAAAACATGATTATTTAACATAATAATAAAATATGATTATTTAACATAATCATAATCGGAGCAATGCGTATCCATGCGATGTAAACCCCTGGGGCTTTTGCAGCCCAAACCCCCAGGATTTGAGCAGGTTTGCAGGTAAAGAAAGGACCATCAGCTGCTGGCTCACACGGCAGCTGGACGGGCTCGGACTCCTCCTTTTTCCTATTAACGAGAGTTGGTGTCTTTGGGATAAATGACTCCTTTCAAAATAAACGGGGTGAATTCTTAAGAACTCATCTAAGCAGCAAAAGGAAATCCCCTGAATGAACCGGGTCCGATGCAGGGGTTTGGAGTGACACGCTGAGAAATTTTGCTTGTTTAGCAGAGAGGCTTTCTCTAGGGTAATAAAACTCTCACGTTGCTGTGCCAGGGATTTTCCATGAGGTGTGTGTGTCAGCGGGTGGTGGGAGCTGCAGTTTCTGAGGCCGGTCATAGAAATGGAGTGAGATCACCCCGGAGAAGCTGACCACAGATCCCTGTGAGCCAACAACGGCAAGAATTAGGAAGAGATCTGGGGAAGGGAGGTTTGCAAGAGATCTGGGGAAGGGAGGTTTGCAAGAGATCTGGGGAAGGGAGGTTTGCAAGAGATCTGGGGAAGGGAGGTTTGCAAGGGATCTGGGGAAGGGAGGTTTGCGCACAGCTTCACCCTGGCAAAGGGGAGCAGAAGGTGGGGGGTCAGGATCCCCATTCAGGAGGGAGCACGGCTGCTGAAGCTGCGCTCTCTGCTAATCATCCATGAGGACAAAAGTGGAGGACTTGGATTCATGTCTGAGTCAGACCAAATCGATGACTGGAGCGGGTCACAACAGCACTGTGAGCATCTCTCTCAAAGTTTACAACACGCTCCATTACACCACCATGGGTTCGACTCGCTCGTGTGTGGATTTGTACACACGCGGCAGTGTGAAGGGGAGGTAGTTTTTAAGGTGTGAATGCCAGGACACTCAGGTCTGCAACAATAAAGTGTTTTTTTTTCCCTAAAGAGGGAAAGAAATGGAGCAGCTTTCCAAAGAGAGCCTTCCTTTTGACGTAAAATGAAAACTACATTGGTTTGGGGATGTCAGTTAAGGTCTTTAACCTTTTATACCTTGTTATTGCTTAACAGTTGCAATCAACCAGGGCAAGAAGCCACCTGATGGGCCTCATAAAAGCACAGCATCTGGCTACGAAATAGAAGAACAGCTATTGACTGCAACCACCCCGCTACTATCAGGTTTCCTCGTGGCAATGCTAATGCACAGTGAACAGGCAACATCTCCCTGACAAGACCATGAGACCATGACAGACCTCGCTCTCAAATCGGGTCGATACCAATCTGCAGTTTCATGATGTAAGATTTCAGAATGGGCCTGGTGCCTCCCAAGTACCGGAGTGGATTGACAAAGGTGACACAGGGCCACTAAGGATTCATGGCGCTTCTCCTTGAATTTCTTTATAATCTTGTCGGAGGCAACAAAGCACAGGACGGCTCCAAAAGATTTCAAACCAATTACATCCCCCTGGAAGGATGGGTCTAGCCAGCAGCAGACCATGTGAAACCAATAAATAAGAGGAAAAATGAGACAAGGAGGAAATCTTTATGGGAGGAAAAAATGAAAAAAGACGGTGAAATAATGTCTTGAGAATGGATGCACTTTTTATAAAACATTTCCCAGAGATGGCCAGGAAAGGGGTCTGATCAATCGAGTATCTCGCGCAAAGCACCAGGCACCCTGCGGCTTCATCTGCAGGCTGGTTTCTTCGCTGCAAGAAAACACCCTCACAGACACAAACTGCTGAGGCTGAACAATTCGACGTCAGAAACTTTGCAAGACCCCGGGCTGGGGCCACCAGCTACGTACCCAGCACCTCGGGAGTCTGGCCTGACCTCTGAGCTGTGCGTACGCCGTGTCATTTAGAAATAAAATTTATTTCTGCAACCTGGCGCGTTATGGTAATGCCTGCGCTTGGCATTAAACGGCTACTATGTTCTGTCTCGCATCCAGACAGACCGCTGCCTGAAGTCAGCGCTACAGGAACTTTAAAATAAAACACAGCATACGTTCGGGATGACTAATACGTTCCCTAACGCCGGCTTACACGGAACGTGTCGGAAAAGTTGCTTCATCTTGCGTCTGTTGTTTAGGGAAATGTGATTCTGCGTCCGTGGCGCTGGGCTGGGGAACACAGAGACAGGGCTCGCCTCGGGGAGCGGCCAAACACCCTCACACCTCTCCCCAAAAATCCTCTGCAGAGCTGCTCTGCCAGGACAGGGTGATGGGCACGCACGGCAACGCTGAGCATCTTCAGGCACATCCACAGGGGAGTCCAAGAGTCCCTCTGAAACGGCCGCAGCTCCGGGATAACCCCGTTGAGGGGAACGGAGCCTTCTTGTGGGCTTTAAGGCAACAAAACCCAGCGCTCGGCCAGTCCCATGCTAGCTACAGCAGGGTGATGGCAATGGGCCTGACCCGTTGCAGCTCTATCTGTTGTGTTCTTGCCATTCCCTGGCTCCTTCCCTAAGTCGCTTCAGGTCACAATCATCACTGGCCGCCGCCACCACTTCAGCTCTCGTCTTCACCACCCACCACCAACGTGTATTTAACCTGGGCTGGACACACAGTGCCCACGTCTGGGGGAGAGGTGAGTTCTCTCAGAAGAACAGGCAGGCTTCCTTTCCCAAAGCACTATTTTACTCCTTTGGTTAGCTAGCTTGATCATCTGCTAATGAAATATTTCAAAATAAAAGCAAATTTTAACTGGTAACAGCAGAAAACCACAACCACTGACTAATTAAAGTTTTTTCTAACACACAAAAAAACAAGATCACCCAATGGCAAGAGTCGAACTTATGAATCCTGCTAGGGATTTCTTACATTTCTTTGGCCCCCTCTGAAACACACAGGAAGGATGATCTTTAATTGTTTCCCATAGACATGCTACTTATTAGGTGGTTTTTCATTTCTTAAAAGATAAACAGCAGTCTTAGACCAGTGCTGAATTACTGAAGAGTACTCTGAATTACCTGGAGCCAAGAATTAAGATAGACATCAAATTTAGATCTTGCATCCATTCTGGTTTGAGCTACTTTGGTTGGGTGGGATTAAAATCACACAAATATAATCCTTCATTTCTCCCCCACCCAAACCCCAGGCATCAGAAAAGATCTCCCCAGACACTTCTTATGCTGGAAACAACCCACAGGAACATCATTTTCAGGAGAAGGCTCTGGAAAGATTTAGAAGATATGGAGTCACATCAGAGACAGCCACAAGATGTATTTGTGCTCTTCAGCCGTCTTTGCGCAACCATCCGTTCAGAAAAGAGATTGAAGTGCTTGTTAACTTAAAGACAACTCAGAAAAAGAAAATTAAAGCAGTCCAGAGTATCTACTGCTCTCGAGGGTCAGGTGTTTACTGTGGAAAGTAAGCTGAAATCCAACTCTATCTGGCCTAAGGCTCAACTCCACGCGGCACCTTCCCTGTCCTGCCGGGATTGTATCAGTAACTCCTACACAACCGTGACACAAAAAGAGAAATAAAATGAGACACTTACCCTCCTTCAAAGATCTTGATCCTGACTGGCTCCCCTCTTTTGGTTACCAGAGCCTCTTCTTCGGATTTTCCTCTTTTATCCTCTTCCTTCTCAGCTCTAGTTATATCTTTTCGACCTTCATTAGAAAGGAGCGAAGGCAAATGAACCTATCTCCCCAAAAGAGCAAAACAATCCATGATTACATACAAAAAAAATCACGCTTAAGACAGACACAGACCAAACAGCCTCAGAAGGAGCCTGCAACCTACTGCACACGCTGCTCCTGACAGCTAAGGGCAGTAATTAGGACATCGGCTTAACAAATGGGGTCTCTGCTTCTGGAGGTTGAGCCCTGCTGGTTGGGTGACATTGACTGCGACCGCTTATGAGTTTTTTAATTGCCCCCCTGCACACGGTGCCTCAATATTAGCCAGCTCTGGCCAAGTGGGAAACTGAGGCATGAAGAGAAGTGTCTTGGCTGAGGACACTGATGGAGCCACGGGTCTCCGTTCCCAAAGCCACTGCTCTGTCCTTGGATAATCCTCTCTCATACACACAGCTATGAAGGGCTAGACAGGAGGCATCTGCAGGTTTCAAGTATTTAACCTCAACCTTCGGGTTTCCCCCACATACACACACATTCACACAAATTTGGGCTTTAGCCATGTAGACTTGATATAAATCACTTGACAGTCGGTGATTTTCACCAAAAATCTGTTGCCAAGGGCACAGCACAGAGAAAGCCACAAAACCCACGGGAGAAAACAATCCTCCACCTCCCCAGATGTTCCCAGGGTAAAATTTGCTTTTTCGCTGTTAAACTTGCCACCCCTTGTTTAGACCGAGGTTTGAGTCATGCACTGACATCTCATCTGGCATGTTTAGTATTATTTGTTGTAGTATATATACATGGATCTCTTAGAGCTGGTCCAGAGGAGGCCACAAAGATGCTCAGAGGGCTGGAGCCCCTCTCCTAGGAGCACAGGCTCAGAGAGTTGGGGTTGATCAGCCTGGAGGAGAGAAGGCTCTGGGGACGCCTTAGAACAGCTGCCAGCACCTGAAGGGGCTACACGAAAGCTGGGGAGGGACTTTTTATAAGAGTGTAGCAACAGGACGAGGGGCAGTGGTTTTAAACTGGAGCAGGGGAGATTTAAATTAGATGTTAGGAAGAAGTTCTTCACGCTGAGGGTGGTGAGACCCTGGCACAAGTTGTCCAGAGAAGCCGTGGATGCCTCATCCCTGGAAGTGCCCAGGGCCAGGTTGGACGGGACTCTGGTCTGGTGGGAGATGTCCCTGCCCATGTGGGGGGTTGGAACTAAATGATCTTTTAAGGTGCCTTCCAACCCAAACCATTCTATGATATGGACCTGACCATCACAGCTGCCTCTCCAGCTCTGTACAACGCAAGGGCAGCTCTCCACAGCCAGAATGAAATCTTGGGATGCTACCCCCCTACAACCTAACAGTACAACTACCCGGGGTCTCCAAAGCTTGGAGAGGGGAAAGCAGATTGCCTTTCACCCAGGTTACTTCTTACGCAAGGTCAGGAACACCTCTGAAATTCAACTGAACTGCCCACAGCCTCACTTTACGTGTAATTTATGGAAACAGACTGAAGGTATTTGAGATACTTGGGCCATTAGAGAGATTTTGGCCTGAACGTAGCCAAGGAACTGGCAAAAGTCTAAAGCAGAGCTGGTCACCCTTGACTCTGGAAAGAGT